TACATTGAATATTAATTGGACAATTATGTTGATCTAGTCATGATTGTTACAATTAATATATTACTGTTCAACACATGTCAAAGTGGATGTTTTCTTATAAAAGAAAATTATATATATATATATATATATATATATATATATATATATATATTGTATATCACATTCAATAGATTTTTTAAAAAGAAACATAACTCAAATTGATAGTCAGTTTCTATGTATAAAGATAAGTTGCGTAGTAAGTAAGTCCAATTAATTTTCTTTTCAATTATTCTGACGTACTATGTTTATAACAGATGTAAAAAAATTTATTTCGAGGAATTTTATAACCCTGCATTATTTTATATTTTTATTTTTAACTAATTAATGACAATACATGAGATAATTCATCTTTAAAATACTAAATAAGACAAAATTGTTATCTAACTGTATAAAAATAACATCATTTTTTATTTAAAAATTGATGCATTTATAATTTTTATAGACTTGATCTAATTATTCAACATTCATTGTATAAATATGAATTTCGAACGTTCATAGTACATACAATCATTTTATACAATTTCCATTTACGACCATTTCCATTTACATTTTCCAAAAAATATAAGATAATTTATTAGAAATTATAATATTAAAAATTGTATGGTATTCTGACGATACAATAATATATCTTTAAAATTGAATCTTATTTTTTTTCTATTATGATACTTATAATAGTAATCTGATAACCTAATGAGACCAATTGATTTATAGTTAAATCGAATATTCTTTTTCTATATATTGTCAATTATTCATTTTAAAATTGGACTAAATAAGTTGTAGAAAATTATAACTTTATAGCAATAAGCAGAAGCAAAAATAATAAAAATTAGATTACGATTTTTAATAGCTAATTTAAAGATATTATTACTAAACTTAAACAAATTCTATAAGATAATCTAGTGAAATGAATTTAAAAATAATATCTATTAAATTAATAGTCAGTATAAAAAATTTATCTAAAATATAAATTATAAAATTAGTCATTTAATTAATATTTTATAAACTTTTGAGTGTTTTTATGCCTATTAAATATTGAAAAAAAATTGAATAAATATCCTTTCCTGCCTGCAGTAATCTTGTAATATAAAAAACCTAAACTCATTCTATTTATTAGTTGTCCAACCTCTCCATATAGAAGCAATACTGGCCGCTGCACTTGTTACTAAACCTCCAGCTACACTTTGATTAACTTGCATGCTAGACGATTGTTGGCTAGCCATTGCTCCAGGAATAGGAACAGCCATTTCTGGACAGGCTACATTCGGAACCTAAAATTTAATATTCATAAATTTTTCAAATTACACCGATAATTAAAGAATTTTTATTACAATAATTTAAATTAAAACATTATACATTCATAAATATTTTCTCAATACAAACATTTTTTCAATATTATTATTACAGTAATATTTTTTAATTATTTATTTAAAAGGGAAGTTAGAAAATTACGTAAAATTCTTATTGTCTTACCGCTTCCCATTCCCAATTAAAAGCATCTTCTTCTTCATCAGAAGCAGAATCATCACTATTTTCTAAATCTGTAACTAATTGATTGTGCAAATGTGTAATCACATTGGGATCTATTTCGATGGGGCCGATTCTATAATGAAATGTTATCATAAATTTCTTGTATTATATATATATATATATATATATACATGTAATTATATAGTAAAATACACATATTGTAATTATATAGTAAAAATTTTAATTAAATACCTTCCTAAATCACTAATTTCAGTGTTTAGTAAATGCATAAGATTCTTTAGAGTATGCATTGGATGTAACACCGATGTATCAGTATTTTGAGTAAAGCAAAGATGCAAAATATTACTATTAAGCCTTGCTACTTTTCTAGCAAATTTTTGATCTGACATTTCACTTCCATAAAATTCACTGAAATAAAAAAAATTTGATAAATAAAAGCTTTATGCAAGAGTAATGAAATCAAATAAATTAATATTGTAAAATTGAACCTGTATGCAAGTTTATATGGAAGTCGAACGTTAAGATAATAAGCAATAATATTGACAAGTTGGGTAGCATATGTAAGGGCTGCATTAATATTATATGCAGGATTGTGTATTGCATTTTCCTTATTTCCACCAGGTACGCTGTCTTTATTTTCTGCCACTAATTTAGAAATTATTCAATTTGAATTTGAAAACATTATAACTTATTAGTATGTTTTCAGTTTCAAAATATATTTGCAGTGAATGTACTCACCCCACAGTGAGTAAGCACTATAATCTCCAGACCCAGGTAATGTAGGCGCAACAATGCGATGATGTACTTCTAGACTATTCTCTGTATCGTTGATCCATTTTCCACGTACGTATGATGTTCCTGAAGCATCAGCAAGGGCACAAGTAACCATATCCGTAATGGATCCATCATCTTCGCTAAAGCACAATAAAAATAATTATAGATTACAATTTCTTTTATTGCCAGTTAATTTAAAAAAAAAAAGAAAATCATATAATTTCAAGTAATTTTATCAGATTGATATAAAAATGAAATTAAATCGTTTGAGCGGCAAAATTGAATTAAGCATTGTCTTTTTCTATACAATACTCTTTGATCTTACCTTTTAGTAGGCTCAACTTGACTTAATGGAAATATATATTGAATTAATTGCTTTGCAGCTATTCTTATTACTTTCTTCAATTGTTGCCTTTTTCTTTCTACGGATTCTTTCTGCCTTTCATGTCTAACTTTTAAATCAATGACGCATCTACGTAATTTTTCTACTTGCTCTTCATGCCTTGGTAATTTTAAAACAATTTGTGAATTAACTTCCTTTAAAATATGTAATCGTTGATTCCCTGCGATGTACAAACAAGCTTATAAGAAGTATTCTAAATATATTAAAAAAGTTAATAAGAAAATAATGATTGTACCTCTAATTATATTTTGTCTAGTTTCATTTTCAAGATTTTGGAGTAGTCTTATTCTTTCTTTACAAGCATTTATATCACAAATCTATAGAATATGAGAATATGATAAGTTGTAAATACATTAAATATATGAATAAGTATATTAAGTCTTAAATAGATTATACCAATTTATCACGTTGTTTATGTTTTTCAAGAGCTTTTGTACATTTTTCTTCCAGCTGATTTCGTACAAGGTTTAACCTTAAGAACCGTTGTTGCTTATCGACAAATCTGTGAAGTACACATGCACACGCATTCGTAAGATTATATTTAGAAAGATCGATACAATTTCTGTAGAAATTACAGTCTATCAAGATACGAAAACAAAATTTTCATTTGACAGTATTTCCATCAATAGTCGTATGCTATTTACAAATAGAGTATTTTATTAAGACATAATATATTTTGTGAACTTTACAAATATACAGAATTACAGAATATACAACATATAAGCCTAACTCTGAATAACAACAAAATAAAAACTCTATATATTCAGATAAAACTAGCTCGCCAGAATTCTAAAAATGTTTTTATTAACTTCCAATTACGAGATAAATACCTCCGAACTATAAATAATAAAATTAATTATTTGTATATATTATCTATACAATTATTTAACTTTATTAAAGAAATACAAGAAATGCAAACTGCAAGGGACTAACGTTTATTACTTGATATCTTTTTCGTTTTGTATAATCATCAGAATAGACAAATAAAAAAAAGAAAGGCATAAAGAAAGGTCGGAGAAAGGACATAAACATACGTACCGTTCAGTGTAAACTGAAACCGAATGGACGAATTCCCCATTTTGTACACATTGTCTACAATAGAAATTTCTTCGTCCATTATGGCATAATGGACACTTGAGGAGATTAATACCGAGTCGCTCGTTCACATCCTCCAACTCGGAGGAAAGTTGGAAATCCGTGGGCATCGTGCAGGATCCATCGGAACTGCTCGTCGCCATAACCCAAGATACATGGACTACTCGAAGTAGAAAGAGAGGAATAGTAGAAGCGAAACTGTTAGTAATGAGCAGCAAACCGAAAAAATAATGGGTACACTGCTCTGTTCCGTCTGCTGTCATTCATCAGCTGATCCGTTATTTACCTTCTCCTCAACGCGCACAGTACGACAGAGACAGACAATGAAATAAAGAGAGGGGGATTAACAACAGTTGGGTACAAAGCGAGAGGGAAAAAGAAAGCGAACGAGCGAAAAATGAAAAGGGGAGAGATGCATTAGATCCTTCAAATATCTTATCTTCCTTTAATTAACGACTTTACCATACGAAATTAATTTAAATCAGATCGATGCTTCGATTCCCAAAATCTTCCTTGTGACGACGCACAACTGCAGCCCATATTGCTGCAGATGCACACTATGCGCACTTACAACTCTATATACGTATGAGCTATAAGAGATACATAACAATGAAATAATTATCACGCGGACGGCGAGGAATGTGTGCTTCGATGTGTACTACTGTATGTCTGCACTTCAGCAATTATATATACAAAGTAGATGGCGGGCATGACAACAGATGATGCGCCCATTCAAAATACGAATATTTACAATCTCATGTAAAAGACAAATTAGCTTCGAATTTATATTAAACTGTAACATTTCATTTACAGAGGCATGATATTTTTACTGCAAAATGACAATATAACTATTTCATTCTAATGAACTTTTCGTTCCAACAAGCCTGCTGATATTTGAGATACGCTGCGTCGCACAATGACAAAAATCAAACAAACTTATAAAAGAACTAACCTTAACATACAACCATAGATTTAAGAAAAGTAGGACTCCTACAAGTATAAACAATGAAATTATGGGAATTGATGATTTTTGATGAAAGTAGGGAGAAGCTTATTATGTTGGATGTTCGATGACTCTGACAAATCTAAGTAGCTATATCTATATAAAAGAGAATCGAATTTTTCAAAAACAAAAAAAAAATAAAAAAAAAAGTACCGTTATGTATATTCCGTTATATATATATATATATATATATATATACACATAATGATACGATATATAATAAAAATTTTATCATTCTACAATCAATGTAATAATAGAAATATATCAATGCCTGAACGCTTACTAAAACAATGGAAAGCAGTATAAAACTATTGAATGAAGCTTCTCTTCTATCAAATTCTAGAAGTTTAATGAAAGCAATTATCAAAATTTAAATCATTTCATTTTCAAATGCAAGGAATATTGATTACATTTTGACTATTCCATCCGATGGTCTATTTAATATCATATAGCAAGTTACTTAAAATTCATGGATTTAAACTTTACAATACGTAAAAAATAAAAAAATAATTTTATTTTTAAAACTCAAAATTTTCATTAATTATTAAACCGTTTTAATTCATTTAAATAAATATAAATAATTTTTCATAAAAATAAGAGTAAAAAAAAATTAAGGATCTATATTTTTAATTTAAAGATTTAAAATTTTATTTCGATGAATTTGTAAAAATTAAAACATTATGCACAAAATGAATAGAATTTTGTACAATACTCTTTCAGAATTATCAAATTAATTTTATCATTGCCTATATAAGATAAGAGTTTTAAATTATTACCTGGGATTATATTTTCAATCTCAAAAGAAAAATTTAAAAGAATTAGTATTATATATATATGAATTGCTGATGGTATGAATTTAGTATTATAAGCTGTGGATAAAAATTTATTAGATCTTTATAAATGTTCAATTGTTTAGTTAATTATATATGAAAACATGAATATTTAAAGATTTTTCACCAAAATCGATAACTTATGAGCGTATTAAATCTTAATTTTTTTTTTATCCGTAAAGCACCAGCTTTTCACGTTAATAGCAAAAATGTTGATCATTATTAATCCTATATCTATTCATTGCATGCCATTGTAATATTTGTAATAAAAGTTTACAAATAATATTTATTGAAATTATATTCTATTTTTAAATAATTAATTTCAATCTAATATATATATATATATATATATATATATATATATATATATATATATATATATAATAAATATTTATATAAAGCGCGACTCAAGTATTTATTATATATGTTGAATTATATATTTTATGTATATTAGAATTCGTAAGAAACCGTTCAAAGCATAATACATGTTAGGAGCTTATCCATGATCATTATTTCAGATAAAAATTGTTAATAAGCAGTTTATTTTGAAAAAAAAAAATAAGTTTTGACTTTTCACTGATTTTAAACAAAGTGTTATTAGAATCAGACTAATTATTTCAAGTAAAACTTATAGGAAATAAAAAATTATTAATATTAATTTGAGTTACTCATAAAATTTATTTAAAAAAGAAATATTTTACTTTTAGTATACTTTAAGATATGTAATAATACATAGTTGAAATATTGTTGTTAAAAAAAATGTTTTCGATAAATTTATTGAGATATCAATTGTCACAGACTTGGGACAATTGCAATTGTTTACTTTTTATGGTAATAATTGCAAGTTAACTAGCTGGCGATAGATTTTTTGTCATTTTAAATTAATAATTAATACATGGCTGTTAATAGTTTTTTTTTTTTTTTTTTTTAGCAAAATACAAGTTTCTTTCACTTTAATGTATAATAATAACGAAGCCTTATATTATTTCTAATTTTTATTTGTTATATGGCACGTGTGGAGAAATAAGAATCAAATTTTTTAATAGAAAGAAAATATTAACTTTGAATTTAATATATTTACAAAAGCAGTCACATATTCAATCCTCTATTGCATTAAAAATAAAGTCTTCAAAATAAAAAAAAAAATGTATTAAAAAAGTTTTTTTTACGAAATACTTATAATGTTTAATTCAAATACTGATTTTTTCTATAAATTTATTGATATTCATAATTTTTATATTTGATTATATTTTACTGTATTGTAATAGTTAATTCAATTTTTTAATTGAAAATAAAAATAATTAATTATTGTATTTTTGTTATAATTTATTATTAAATATTTTCAGAAAGTAACTAACACAGGCATTTTAAAGGCATATAACAATGGTAAATAAACGTTTTAGTAAACCAATCGGTAGTGAGAAATAAAATATAAATTTAGTAAACATACAATAAATAAAATTAAATCCTTATCAAAATTTAAAGTTAATTATATTATTTATGATGTAACATTAATTGTATTATTATTATGTTCTAATTCACTTTTCAAAATATTTTAAATAATCCTTGACCAAGAAATACAAAAATTATAATATAAAATGTAGATACTTCGATTTTTTTTAATTTTTATCAATTTTCATAAAGTATATTTTTAATTATTTTATTACTGGATTTTACCAACCCAATTATAAGTTTGGCATTCGTTTTTCACTAACACGTGTGCCAATTTGAGGTACTTTCATATTATTTTCTAGGTTAGCTTTGATATTATTTGGTAATTAAAAATAAATACTTTTATTTCTACTAATTTTTGTCGTCTCCTTAAAATTTCAATAAGTTATTATAACTATTTTATTTTCAGGATAAAGATTTACATTTTTATATGTAGCTTACAATATAAAGTAGACACATTTTCAATTAAATTGTCCAACATGCTCGGAGGTAAAGTAGCAAATTTTAGAGATACATTTCATGTTGTTAATAAAGATATATTGCAATGGTTTCCTGGACATATGGGGAAAGCAATGAAAGACATGGAGAAACATTTAAAAAATATTGATTGCATAATAGAAGTACACGATGCACGGGTACCAGTCTCTGGCCGTTATGCTAATTTTAAGAAAACGTTATGTGGCTTGAAACCTCATATCTTTGTTTTAAATAAAATAGATTTAGCCGATAAGACATATTTACTTCCTGCTATAAATAAATTAAATGGTGAAGGTATAATGAATATCATTGAAACAAATTTGAAAAACGAGACTTGTAAGGAAACAAAAAAAATATTACCATTACTGCAGAAACTTATAAAATCCTCAAATCGTTTTAATAGATGTCAAGAAAAAGACTATTGTGTTATGATAATTGGAGTTCCAAATGTTGGTAAATCTTCGCTTATAAATAGATTGAGAAACACATATTTACATAAATCTAAAGTTGCAGCTGTAGGAGCTATAGCGGGAGTTACAAGATCAGTCATGAATAAAATAAAAATATCCGAAAACCCTTTAGTATATTTGTTAGATACTCCTGGAATTTTGCCTCCAAATATTAGCGATATAAATAGTGGTTTAAAATTAGCTTTAGTTGGGTGCTCTCAAGATCATTTAGTTGGACCTCAAGTATTAGCTGATTACCTATTATTTTGGTTAAATAAAAATAATAGATTTGAATACGTTCAAAAATTAAATTTACAAAGGCCGACCGATGATATAATAGAAGTTCTTTTTCAAATTGCTATTCAATTTAAAAAAGTTCAGAAAAGAAAAAATTTTAATGGAAGTTTCGTTGATATGCCAGATTTGTATTTTGCATCACAATACTTTATTAAGACTTTTAGAAGCGGAGAAATAGGCCTTTATTGTTTAGATAAAGATATTTTAGAAAATCCTTGAAAATTTTTAAAAATTTTTCGTCGGTTGTCATTTTGAAGTGTAAAAGTTCAATTATTTAAAAATAAATTATAAAAAAAATTGTATCTGTAAAATAAAATTGTTAATATTCTTATTTTCTGTAAATAATGTAAATAAATTTGTATTAATTAAAAAAAATTATTATAATTCTTATTAGTGTTCTTTTGAGAAAATATTTCTATTTATTATTATACAAATATTTTAATATAGAATTTTTACATAACAAAGTCTCAAAGTATATTTATCTTGTCTAAGGAGTTCATTAATATTTATTATTGAGAGTATTAAATATTAATAGTATGCATAATGATATTCTTAGGTCATAGTTCAAATCTTTTACAAATGATGTATTTAAACTGACCCCACTCCAAGCCCTACAGGCCCCACTTTTAACTCTCCCCACTCTGTTTTAATACCTGCATCTTTTACTTTGCTTAACTTTCTCCATGACGTTTCTCTTTCCACTTAAGTGTGACACAATTTCATTCTTGAAATATTTTTCTATAAAGCATGTGAAATTTAATATATAGTTAGATTTAAAAAATTCATAAATTTTTACAAATTTTAATTATTTTATGACAAAAATAATCATACAAAATTTACATTAAAGTTTTATATATATATATATATATATATATATATATATATTTAATAGTTTTAATATAATTTCTTTTTAGTAAACATGTTTGCAAGAATTACATTTTATCCATCTTTATTATATAACATATTTATGGAAAAAGTTTCAAGTCGACGATGGTATGATCGTATCGATGACAGTGTTATTCTTGGAGCACTACCTTTTAGAACAGCAACAAAACAGGTAGCTATAAATGAAAATTTATATTAATACGTTTGATAAAAATATTTTTATTTTAGTTAATAAATGAAGAAAATGTGAAGGCTGTTATATCAATGAACGAAGATTACGAATTATGGTTATTTTCAAATACTGCAAAGGTAAGTAATATTTTATATATTATGTATGGTTTATAGAAAAAGTGTTTCTTACGCATCAATATTTATAGGAATGGAAGAAAAATAACGTTCAATTTTTACAATTATCAACTACAGATATATTTGAAACACCTTGCCAAGAAAAACTTAAACAAGGTGTAAACTTTATCCATCAATTTCAAAATTCAGATAAAAATAATATAGTTAGTGAAAAAAAACCGACAATATATGTTCACTGTAAGGCAGGTAGAACGCGTAGTGCAACGCTTGTTGGATGCTATCTCATGACGGTTTATAATTATTTTTTAAATTTAATTTATTCAATTAATAGATATTGTTTTAATTATTTTTATCTTATCCTTTAATTTATAGAAACATAACTGGACTCCTGAAGAAGCGGTAAATTATATGAAGAGTAAACGAGAACATATACTTATGCATAATGCTCAGTGGCAGGCTTTAAAAATGTTTTATAAAGATCAAATAAAACCCGAAAAGTCTTAGTACAAGAATGTAAACAAATTTTTTTTTATCATATATTAATGTATATAGATATAAAAATTTAACTTTAAAATAATATTTAAATATAATATTAAATTTTTTTTACATAAGTATTTTGCAAATATTTATTAAATAATTTTAAATAATATATATAAATCTTACTCTACTGATTTGGTTTATCTTTATTACTTATATTAAGATAAGTCGATGCAAATTTTGTTGCATTGGAAACTGCTTTGTTGATCAACGTATTAAAATCCTGATTAGAAATTTGTATTGGTAGCATGTTATATGCAAAAGATGGATCTTCATCTTTGAAAGTATTTCCTTGTGATTTAAAAATTTGTAGTACTTCTTCCATCCACGTTTTAGCATTGAATAGTGTCGATAGGTGTTCCTGTATTTAAGTGATAAGAGCATTAAAATAACCTGCCTAATCGTTTTATTGTGCGCAATCTTTACCTGAGGAACACAGCATCTGGCTTTAACTTTGTTCTTACAATGTGCAATAATTAAGACTGGAGTTGTTGAAGGACAAAGCTTAATGATATTTTTTAGCGATATATTTTCCAAATATGCATTATTTGGTTGAAGACAATGTACAACGAATGGCATTGATGATGATTCTAACAGTTTTTTAATCTCTTCTTCTATGGTATTCCTTTAAAAACAATAATGTTTATAAAAAATATTGTAACACATTTGGATAAATAATTGGATAATCAGATAATCGTCTGATAAATATACCTTGTTTTACCCCTTTCTTGCATTTTAATATTTTTTAATAATATTTCCAATTTTTCTAAACTTTTTTGTACAGTAATATAAGGGTATATTTTTTTTTTATCCAATAATTCATTTTTTTCACTATTAATTTTGTATTCAAGATCGTTTAATTCTATATTATTTGTTTTGAAATCATTTTCTAATTTTGAGATTCTGTTTGTTAAATTATCACCTGCAAGTCTTGTTAATCGAGCTACTGATCCAGTTACGGCTTTCAAACTTATGCTTAAACTTCCTCGAGATTTCACATTTACAATACAGAAATGCTTTAAAATTCCCGTCATATGTACGTGTGTACCGCAACATGCTTCTCTGCAATAAATTAGAATTATGCATTATAAAAAATAATTATTTGAAAATATTTTTAATAATTTATAGTACTTTGAATTTAATATGTTACTATTTATTTCAATTATTCGGATTCCTGTATCCGGATAAGTTTCTCCGGGAATTATTGTTAAATTCTCTTCATTTAGCATTTCTAAGGCATTTACAATTTTTGTTTTAACAGGAATATTAGCTTCGATGGTCTGATTTATAATATTTTCAACTGCCATTAAGTCTTCTAGCGATAACTTCCTACCAAAAGTACTACATTCAAAGTATAAAATATCCTTTTGTACACTACTTCCACGTTGACCAATTACAGGTAAAATTTTCTGCAAAGTGGCATTTAGTAAATGTGTAGCAGTATGGTGTCTCATGAGTCCCATTCGATTTGTTTCATTGATTGAAATGTGGCATTCATCTCCAATTCGAAGTTCATGTTCTAGATTTCTAAAAATCAAAATTTCAATTTTACTTTAAAGAATCATTTATCGAGTGCTTCCGATTCAAGAAGTTAATTTTGCAATTATTAGCATTAAAATTAGTTATTATTAAAATATTATTAAAACAAACATTTTAAAAAAGTTTTAATAAATATTGCTTTTATTATTACTTACACTTCATCCCAATCACCAAATTGTCCAATATGAATAACATAATCGCGAATTTTTCTTACTTTTTCAAAATTAAATAGCAGATTTTTCACACGAATATGACCTTTATCAGATATTTGACTTCCTGCAGGTGAATATGCATTTGTTTTATCCAATATTATGCCAACTTCTGAATTAGTATTGATAACAGCACTGCTCTCAATGATATTACCACTGTTTGTAATTGTTGCTTCGACAATAGCTTGACTTTCGTCTATGCTGAGTCTTGTATCAGTTTCAGATATTAAGTTTCCTGTAAAGTCAAACACGTTTTATAAAATAATAATAATTATTTTATTATTATTAATCGAAGTAATTAATTAAAAAAAATTACCATTTAAAACTATTCCTAATAATTTACATTTTAATGTTGGAAAATTATATCTTTCATCATTGTATGTGTAAATATATTTCGATAAATCATCTGTTTTTGGTACATTTGCTGATTCGAGTAAATTCAAAGAATAATCGGATATAATTTCAGTATCGACTTTATCAGCTTCATTTCTAGATTGTTTCCGAACCTTATCCAGTACTTGTTTAAAAGCATTTAAATCAAATGCTATTGATTCAATTTCTGACAATTGATGTATTGTTTCCATGTTAAGACCATAGGTATCGTATAATTTATATGCAAAATCTCCTGGTAGGCTGTTGCTTTTTTGCCTGAAATAATGTTTATGTAGATAATACTTAACAATAAAGCAAAATTTTTTCTAATAATAATATGTACTCTAATTTTAAAAAATTTTGTAATTCGTTATATCCCGCAGTCAGTCCAGGTAATGTAGTGTCAGTAACAGTAGAAAGTTCTGGCCGCTTATTTACAATTTTTTTCCAATTCTTTACAGCAGCATGTCTAGCAGATTTCATAATTTCTTCTTCGTATTGTATAATATGTTGTATCTGAACATGAATAAATTAAATATTTAATGTATTCCAAATGAAAATTAAATTAAAGAAATATGGGCATTACTTTATTTAAATTTTTGTAAATTTCTGGATACACATCTCCGAGACTTATGGCAACATGATTGCTTAATTCTGTTAGTAATTTATTTTTTTTAAAAATTTCTTCACTAACATCGATTGCTTTTCGTAAAACTCGTCTAAGTTTATGACTATAATAAATTGTTATTATTATAAACATAAATATAACAATAAATTCTCCTTTAACATTGATTTAATAATATAAAGAACATTACAAACTTCTTATCAGGTAACATTCCATCGGCTAAAGCTACGGTAATCATTCGGGCATGATCGGATAACATTCTATATCCATAATCAATTTTATCTCTATCGGCTATTCCAAAACGACCTTGATATTTTGGTGCATGGGAGTACTTTTCAATTGCATTAAATAATGGTTGAAAAAGATCTGTATCATAATTAGAACGCTTTTTTTGTAATATCGATACTAATCTTTCAAATCCCATTCCGGTATCAATGTAATTCTTTCTTAATGGTATTATTTGTCCATTTGGAAGTCTTTAAAATATGAAAATATTATTTATATTTCATATTAATAAATGTAAGTTATAATAATTATTAAACTTGAAATTATTTCTTTTACATTCTATTGTTTTAAAAAATAGAAGAACTTTTAGAGATCCATACAGTAAACAAATTTTAACAATCCAATAGATGTATTTACTCAAAATAATGTACCTTTGAAATTGAATGAAAACTATGTTCCACAATTCTGTAAGGTCATCGTGACCTTTATTAACTCTATGAGCTTGATTTTTTGATTGCATTGTGTGATCTATATGAATTTCAGTGCAAGGGCCACATGGGCCAGTCGGTCCCATTTCCCAAAAATTGTTCTCTATGCCAAACGGTAATATATGATCTTCTGGTACGCCAAGCTTTAACCAAATTTCCTTACATTCTAGATCTGGTTTCAAATCTAATTTTTCATTACCACTAAAATATGTTACATATAAAAAATCTTTTTTTATTCCATAGATTTCTACTAATAAGTCCAATGCATTTTTGCAGGCGTCTTCCTAATATTAAATAATTTATTTCTTTAAAAATCACAACTATTATTCTTAATCGTATAATACCTTAAAATAATCTCCAAAAGACCAATTTCCAAGCATCTCAAAAAATGTATGATGATAAGGATCGTTTCCAACAATATCTAAATCATTATGTTTTCCACCAACTCTAATACACTTTTGTGAATTTACAGCTCTGCATGCCGGAGGACTATGCTCACCTAAGAAAACACCTTTAAACTAAAAATTTTAAACATTTTTAACAAAAGTGTAACTATTTAAAATTGAGTTAAAGTTTGTTTCATTTTCTTTAATGTTGTATTGAACAAAAGAAGAGGGTAAAATACAATAGATTAATATAAAAATGTTATCATTTAGTAAATTAACAATTAAACTAAAACTAATGAATTATACCTGATTCATTCCTGCATTTACAAATGGAATGGATGGATCATTGAAAGGTAACACTGGACTTGAGCGAATAAATACATGATTTAGATTTTTAGTAAAATAATCTAAAAATTCGTTTCTAATCGATTTTGAACTTTTAAATAACTTTTTATTTGAACAAAGCCTGCGAATTATTATTATGTTATTTACAAAATTCCGTCTACGTATGAACATTATAAAACGAAGTTTTAACAAATACAGGCGTAGGTTAGATATAAATTTTCTTTATGCGTTAAAGTAATATAAATTTATAAGAGCTCTATTTTCAAAAAATTTCTTTTGCTATCGACTTAAGTATGAGAAATTCGATATCTAATGGATTCATTGTATGAGATTAATTTTTTTCAACGAACACAAGACAAAAATAGTGCATTCTACATTATTGCAAGATCAACGTTCTGACGTCTTAACCACAGATGAAGATGATTTGATGTTATAACTTCGGATTATTTTTATAAAAAGAATGCATTGAAAAACAAATACTATTCGATAGTAAATTAAATATTTTTAATTATTTTGATTTTTATAAGTAAACAAGATAATCATAAATATAAAAAATTATACAAATCTGTTGATAAACCAAGGGTATTTTAATATTTACAATCATTAATAAAATTATAATTACATACAAGTTTTATTCGGGAATTTTCATAGGTATTTTAAATAATGTAAGCAATTAAATTGAATGAAAAATATATTTTATTTACATATTTTATAAATTTTAAAAATGTAAAAGCTATTGAATGAAAATAAAATAGAAAAGAATGAGCTTAGTAATAAAATTGAATGAATTTTTATACTGCATTGAAGATATTAAATGATGTTTAAATTACAGTAATTATTTGTAAGGCTTAAAAAAAAATACATTTATTTCAATTTTTCAGCTATGAATATCATTTCTTAAATAATTATTTTTAATTTAGAGTATTAACATGCTACATAGTAGAATGCTTTTAAAATAAAATGGTACATTTTCAATTACCATTATAAATAAAATCATTAAAAAAAATAGTAATTGACAGAATAATAAATACTGAGTGTTATTTTAAATTTTTATTAAAAAATTATTTTTTTTATATACTTTAATCATATATTTATTAAAAATAGATTTGTTAAAATAAGTATTATTTTTGTGATAGAAAATATTTTTATTTACAGAAATTATCATGTTGTACGTATGTTGTCTATAAAATATAATTCTACTATAAATAATAATCAAAATAGCAAATTTTAACTTTTTGTGTTTGTTTATTTTTTAAAATTGTATTAATAAAAAATTTGTAATTTTATTTAGTTTTAAACAGTCATTCAATACAAATAGATATTGTAATTTTTTTTTCTATAAAAGATTATGTCTGCTCTACTTTTATTTCAAGTATTAATGTAAATTGATCAGTTGTATTAAATAGTTACCTTAAATTGAGGAAGTTGAAATAGTTTTATAAAAAATTATTATAAATTTGTTATGGCAGTAGTGTAGAATTTTTTTTTCTTTTTTAATATAGCTCAAAAAATAATTTTGTATGAAAACAGAATATGAAAGCAATTAGTTTAGACCATTTTAAATGGTTTTAAATAGTTTTCATATTTAAAATTCTATCTCATAAATTTACAAATAAATGTATAATGCATGGTACAACTAAAATCAAGAAATTAATTTTTATATTTGTATGAAGGAATTAAAAAACGTAACATTTTTAATTTAATTGAACAAAATAACTGTATTAGCAAAATTTGAAAAAGTTTCTAATGATTAATTTCAAGCATTGAATTGTAGTCTGTAATGTTAACCGTAACAACTGGCTTATTTAACAATTAAATAATATTTACAATAAATAATTATAAGTTACAATCTTTTCTTTGGTAAAGAACCAAAAGCTGATATTACCGTTGCTTTTGTACCAGTGACTGACGAGGTCAATGTTGTTAAAGCTGGTTGAGCTATAACACCTGGCTTTACTGCTGCTGCTGCTGCTGCAGCAGCAGGTATCGTAGAGACTTGATCCCATTTGCTTTTTCTCTTCTTAGCATCTTCTTCTACAGTTGCAGTTGTGTTGCTTTGTCTCTTGGCTGTTCCGGAAACTATTTCAATTTTAGTTTTTTCCTTCCTCGCTTTCTCCAGTTTCTCCATTTCCACTTTTTGTATTTTGGCAAGTTCCTCATAGTAAGAGTCTTTATTCCATTTAAAAGGATCAAATCTATCTGGAGGATAATTGGTACCTAATTCATTTATACTACAATATTGAATTAATTTTTCATAAATAGAGGGGTTCCTAAAGTCTTTCCTTTGTTGTATAAGTTTATTCATATCCAAACGGCCAGATTCCATTTTCCTGTAAAGATTTGTAATTTTTTCCTGTAATTCTATAGGACATGATCCAGATGGATCTGGTGGTATTATAATGCCGTATGCATTTGTTTCACCATCTGAAATCAAATCCCCTTGACAATCAGGAGACTGCTGTTCAGCTATATCCAAAAGTGGTTTCCCATTTACCGAAGACCACACTTCAGAAACTGGTACTACAGTTCCCTCATCGTCAGATACAATTGTATCATCAAAGTACGAAACTAATCTTTGTACCTTTGATGTTACATCTGTCACCAAGGTAGGAGCATTTGGCAAGTTGTTATTAATTTTTCCAATAATATTGGAATTATTGATAGGACTATTTGAGGCTGATGTGCCAGATTTGGGACTGATGACAACCTGGGGATGACCAGCTTGAATATTTTGTGGGACATCTTCTCTGGGAGTATTTGAATTCTCTTGAAGGTCTTCATCCACTCCATCCTCACCTTCTGAGTCGGTATAGGTGGCCGTTAGAGATGCCAGAGCAACACTTTGTACAGACATTGTTAGTTCACTTTGAGTGTCCAATTTGCTATTAAGCAATATTTTGTGTGGGAACTCACCAGTATAGCGAAGCTTTATTCACAGGAAATCTTGTCTATTTAATACCTGAAAAGATAATTGCACGTGTTATTTATTCACCATTCTAAATCATTCCAATTACAATTATACTTAAAATTATAACAAAATATTATTTATTAAATAATACTATATAATATCAATATTCATATAAAAACAATATTCATAAATATATTTAAAAGATTATCAAAAATTTTCTTGTTACTACAAATAGTTATTCGATACAAATATTTGAAAATAATTAAAATAAATTATAATGTATAATTGAAATATATACATGATATAATTGATAATCTATAGGTAATGACGGACCTTCAATACTTTAAATGAAAAAAGCTATACACTAATTAGATGGAATTATCTGTCTTAAGAATAATTAGGTTAAGGTTGACATTATATATTTATAAATTTTTGCAATATAAGGAATTAAGAATATCACCTACCTAGCATATAATAGCGTAGTATACGTTGGCTGCAAATCAATTCACAACCATCAGTTAAGCATCTAGTAAGGCAAAAAAAATAAATAAACTTTTTTAAGAATCTGAATTCTGGACTCTACCTCCACTGCTTTTCAGTACTTTTAGTTTCAGCACTCGGCATATATTCCAAACACACTGGACTTATTTCATTAATCACAGTGAAGCGAGCAATAATAATATATCAATTAGTTAGCGCAAAATAAATCTATTATATAAAATTGTAATGGAATAAGGAAAATCATCAAAACCTCAATATTTAAACAAATAAATTTCTCGATTTTTCCGTAGAATGTGTAAAGCCGTGAAAATATTCCCGATTCCGTTCTATGTTCCGAATTCTGAACCTAACCCCAAATGGATTTCCATCTTCATCTAATCAAATTAATCATCTTTATACAAACACACGCGCGCGCGCACGGAAAAACACACGCCTATATAAATATATATATATATATATATAAATATATATATAACACACACGCGCGCACGCATATGCATATGCATATATATGAATATATATATATATATATATATATGATTACGCATAGCAGAGCCTTTCATGCTGCAGAGAATTGCAGTTTTATTTAATAAAAATTTAAAAGCGCGAATTTTTAAATGAAAATAAATAAACATACTGGAGTATCTATCGGCGTTTCTACATCCACGCGTACAGTCCCATAAGCTCGCGGATAATCATATTCTGAAATAAAAAATTGTATAATAAAAAATAAATATATTTTTCTAAATTCTATGTACAATTTTGTATAGAAATTTAATGTTACAAAAAGTTAGGGTGTTTCAAACGTATCAAGGTCATTTAATTTAATTATAAGAAAATTATATGAAAAAGTTCTCATAAAATTCAATATGAAATTAAAATTTAATATTATTGTTTTTTGTTTAAAGATTGTTAGATATATTGATATTTTATAACTTAACACGTGTAATAAATAGTCAATAATACAAGAACCGCAAAATTCAAGATGTAAACAATATTAGTTCTAAAAAACTGAATATAAATTTAATGAAAAACTTAATTTCAATTAACATTTCAATTAAATTAAATATTAAATAAAATGCACAAAGACAATTATAGAACGCTTATATAATTACATAAATACACATTAGTTAGGGATAAATTGTTAGGGTTTAAAAGAAAAAAAATTTTCCATTATCTCTTACTAAACGATTGACCATAGACACATTAAATACTTTGTTAATTTAGTTTTAATATCAAACAGAAACGTGTTAATGAACCATAGACACTTTAAAAAATTCGATGTATCATAAATAAAGTATCATAAATTTTCTTTCTTTTTTATGAATTAAAAGTAATTGAAATTTAATAATAAAATTGTGCCTATAAATTTGAAATAAATATTCAATTCAATAAATATTCAATAAATATTTGAATATTTTTAAAGTACATTTATTCTTATGTACAGATTATTTTCAAAAACAATACTAACTACTTTTATTAATATATAAATTTAATGTAATGCAATATCATAAAAGCGAGCTATATTAATTGTTCTTGTATTATCACAATTAGTGTAATACTAAAGGTAGTACTATTCATAATAAACATGGTACTTATTTTAATCGAATTTAATTTATAATAAAAGTCACATTTAGCATTTATGGGAAAGTTTTTATTTTTATTTCAAATAGTGTTCAAACTCATCCATTACATTCGTATGAACATTTTATTCGATATATTTATTATTGAAATCATGGTCAATCATACTTTTTTCTAATTTGATTAATTTTTTTAAAACGTATTTTTGAACCAAAAGTATTTATGTATTATTTTAGTTCAATCTTTTATACCCAATTTTACAATATCAAAGTGTTAACTGATGAAGATACAAGATTCACACGATCAGTATAGTATTAGTTATCACAGTCATCATTATAATAAAACCTGTAATTTTACTGAAATAAATTCATTTAACGATTGATTCAGAGACGACTCTCTTGATTTTGTTTCATGAGTAGTTTACAATTATGCAATGCCAAAATGCACGGATTTTTAGATTATCAGTGAATATGAGCTCTTTGTGTGACTATCTGAAATTTCAGAAATTTATATTTATAACTATTAGTATCTGCATATTTCGTGAAGGACAAACATTATCTTCAAATCATATTTTCATTTAGATTTAATTAGTATACATGTGACAATTTTAATATGATTTTATTATGATTGATATACGAGCATAATTGTAACATGTTTTAATTTAGATATTTTTTAAACATTAATATATGAATTTCAAAATTTAAAGTATAAAGATGTAAAATTAATTATCAATTATATATATTTTTAATTGAAAAATATATTTACATTATTTTAAAAACAAATTTTTTAAACATAATAATGTCGTATAATATTAAAACAGGAATTTTTATTTTAATACCATAATATGTGTAAATATATAATATATTAAATGATATATTACACATTCGAAAAATAGTTGAAATTACCTTTTAAAATTTTATAATCATATCGTATGATTATTTATATATATATATATATATATATATATATATATATATATATATATATATATATATATATATATATATGTATGTATGTATTTATATACATTTTACATTTATAAATTCATGAAGTATTTTTATTATTACATCATATATTATATATTTTGTAATGATATAATATTAGATAAAATTTTATTTGACGTAATTATTGCAAATTATTTTTTGAAATTCTTATAATATATTTGAATTTTTTATACGTTACAACTTTGTATAAAAAAAATGAATAGATTATTATTTATAGGAATAAACACGTTTTATGCGCTGAAATAATAAATATTGGATAAAAATTCTAATATATATTTTATATTGATATTTATATCATATCACTTATATTTTTGTAAATAAAATGTAAATGTAAATGTTCATGTATATTATATAATTTTCAGTAAATATTCAATAAATAACTTTATGCTACATACTTAAATACATGAAAATTAATTAATGAAATAGTTTTTACTTGAATTTATTTACATTCTTATATACAATTTAAATTATAGTTATGTCTTTTCAGTTGGTTGTTTAAAAAAAAAGTATATCATAAATTAGCGAAATGAAAGAGAAGTTAGAAAAATAACAGAGAAATTAGTGAAATAAAAGATAAAATACTCGTAATGTATATATTTGTATTTGATGAAAATATATAAATTCGATAAAATCTTATGAATACTATGTTCAGAGATTTTTTTAATTCTATACAATTTTATTCATTTTATTAATTTAAAGTAACTAACTCATTTATTATATTTTAATATCGTTTTGTGATTTGAGCAATTTTCGTTTTATTAATTAAAAATATTTTATTAATTTAAATAATTTGCGTATTTAGTAAAGAGTAATTTTCAGTATTACAATGTATGTTAATACTTAATATTGCAATATTTTTAATGTTAAAATATATTGATCTTACGATAATTAATTTTTGTCGCTGCAAAACTCTTTTATTTAAAATTGATTGTTTAAAATCGTTTCGGAATCAAGTAGTTTTTTTTTTTTAAACATTATGAGAGAGGATGTAATTCACTTTTTCAACATATATCCATCATTGGCCCTTTTTTTGCTGTTTCAAAATATTTTTTCTTATCAATTGTTATTTAAGGTATTTTAATTTATGAATAATAGTTTATATTAATAATAATATCTATACCTAGATGATAAGAAAATAAAATTATGTTTATAAATACTTTGGATTTGATAAATTTTTGACTGGAAGCTTTTTACGGTCTATGGCTTTCTTGGATTCATTTATTGATATTGGATTTTGAATAGATGAAGGTCGTAAACATTTATGGAATTGTCGATCATTTTTATTAACAGCAATGTTGTAGTTTAATTTAATTTGATTTGGTGATTGATTATCGATGCGTAGATTCATTTTAGATGATGTTTGACTTGTTTTATTTCTATGAAGTATATAATATTTAGTTGATAAATATTTAATTAAATTAAATACAAAAAATGCTTTACAACACTTTTCATGTTAATTCAAGTAAAATATATTTTATTACCTGTATTTGATATTATTTAGATATATTTGATTTTGATTTGATTTTACATTTTGATGTGCTGAACAACATTGTATCTTATAAGCTTGTTTTATGATATTTTGCTTCATCTTGTGAGCTCTATTTTGTACAGAAAAGATTTATTCTATTGTGAATGTATTACTATTGTACGATTGTTTTTAAAAATTTCTCTAAATTAAAATTAGGTTGAGATATGGTATTTATATTAAAAAATAAATTAATACAAAATATTAATATTATTTATGATTATTAAATTAAATATTAACAAAAAATATCAAATTAGAAATATAATTGAATATAATTATCTTACAAAATGTTATACATTCCTCCAGTTTTACCGAATTGTTTATCGTTAATATCATTTTCGATTGTTCGACGATTTTGATTTGTAAAATTCATCAGCTTCTCCACAATCTTGAAAAAATTAATTTGTATTTTAAAAATTGATATTTAAATTATTTAAATTAATTTTGAATTATTCGATGATAATATTTAATTAATTTTTTTGTAACTTTATGATATTATAATTATTATACTGTTGTTAAGATTTAATTTACATTTGTTATACGATATTAGAAATAATTGACGAATATGTCTGAATATTAAGGAAAATATTGATTGGTCGAATAAATTTTAATTTAGCTGTACTGATTTTACATTCTTTTGAAATGGTAAATAATTTATTAGTTATTTTAAATAAAATTATATTATTTTTTATACAATTGTTTTATACAAATTCTTATTCGATTATAGTATTATCACATAGATGATCATGAGCTGGTAACGGCTATTAAAAAGATGTTATAAAATTATTATAATAGTGTCTGTTAATATTGTATTAAAAGCCTGTGACTTAAGACTATGAATTAAAAACGAAGTAGTGAAGTAATTTTTCAATCCCTATAATGTACTTAATAATATTCTGTCGTATTGCTATCTGTAAATCGAAACTGAGCATTGAATGATGTGTGATATCTGTCGATAAAACGTATTTTAAAAATATATTATATTTATGGATATTAGTAAACCACTAAAGAGCAAAATGTTAAATAATTTAGTCATTGCAGTAGTTATAAAGTTGTAATAAAATACAGCATTTTACTGAAATGTATTTTAAAATTTTAATAACTTAACTGTAAATGTTAAAGCTTTCATAGAGTTTATAGGACGAATATTATATTAATTTATTTAAATTTCACGAAAAATTTGTCAGTTCATTGTCAATAAAACGGACACTAAAGTGCTCCAAAAAGCTTGCATTGCACTTCACATATTTCGGCGAAATGCGAGC